CAATTTTATTAATTTTATTCTATTACTTACTGACTGAAATGTGCTGATTGAAATGTACTGACTGGAATGTACGAATGTCCGTCTACTAACTTGATTAATAATTTAATTGCAGACTTAATTTAATTAATGACAGAACGTCCAACTGAATATCTAAATATCTTTATTGGTAATTGTAAACTTTTAATAACTAAAATAATTAAATGAATTACACAATTCTCAAATTCTTAAATTCTCATATTCTTAAATATATATACTTGTATTAAATTTTCTAAATTTAAAATAATACTAACCTAATACTTTACTAGAAAATATTAAATTTTAGTGATATACATTAGCGATAAATCTCATTAGTGCATTTAGTTATTAATCTATTAATCTATTATGTATAGTCGACTCTGGATATACCCAACTGCATATTCCGGAAGGTTTTGTTTGGTGTAGAATAGGTTCGTTATATAGTTTACTCTCTATACCGAACGGTTCGGTATACCCTTTCGGAAATTCTCGGAAAGTCACTTCACTCGAAATTTTGGTCGGAATGTTTCGGAATCAGTGTCATATACATATCGAACGAAATACTGTGGTCTGAGTCGATTGTAGTATCCTATTAGTATTTACGTATCAATATCTATTAGGTCTATTAGGTATACAAAGTGTCCAAAGTTCCTATACACGGTCCCTTTTTTTTTTTAAAGTGACCTTATATATAGAGATTTGCATAAATAATCATCGTGATCTCTATATATAAGGTCACTTAAAAAAAAAAAAAAAAAAGGGATCGTGTATAGGAACTTTTGGGACACCTAGTATATTAGTCACACATACGCAATCGATCGGTGTTTCGGAATAAATATATCGATTATATAATTGGCGGAATCTTCTCGTCGTTTCGAAACTATACGAGTTAATCACCTGGTCATCAGATGTTTAATACCTCGATTTTGAAAACCGGGAATGTCGCCTACTAATGGAAAAGTATAGAATTTTACCTTTATTATTATGTCATAATCTACAATAGTAAATTCTTTCTTCATAAAAAATTTGGAAAATTTGTATATCTGAATATCAGGATCCGAGATATGAATAAACTTGTTTATTTGATTTACTCCGGGTAAATATTTAATTCTTGCCCTAGTTCTCTTTCGAGTTTATACATAAAAACTACATAAAGAATACATAAAAATGAGTGGCATAGCCAAAAGTGAGGCGTCCCTTGATTACCATAAAAAGTCACTCTAAGTGAGGCGTCTTTTGAAGTACTAAAAAAGTTAATCTTTTCATGTTAATGTTTTCATTCACGTAATTTAATCAATTATACGCAAACTTTATCCCTCTCATATGAATTATGTGATATTTAAAAATTCATTAAATTCTTTGGATTCTTAATGGTTCCTACTCACATGACTTTGTTCCTTATCTAACTTATAATATTGTTCATCAAGTTTAGCTTTATGAATTATGAGAATTTGGTTATATCGATATTCATCCTTTGGATTTCTTGTTCGTTTCTTTATTGCATAATGTTTATCTGGTTTATCTGAGGCATTATTTTTAGTAATTGTATATACTGTATATACTGTATGTATTGTATATACAGTGGTTCATATATAATTAATACGTATATAATCTAATATAGATCAATATAGCCAATATAGTTATTCAATATAAATGTTCAATTGGGAAGGTTCATTATGTGTGATCCTTAAAATATTTTCGCCACAAAAAAGAAAATATTAAAAGTTCGTTCATTGTCATTTGATAATCGTGCATAATACGTTAAAATATAGTTT